AGCATTTTTCTAACGCTACTGCTAAGCTCACTATCCCTAGCTAGACTACGTTTGCAAAAGTTGTAAATAGTGCAGTATTTTTATTTTTGTACAGATATTAATTTAACTTTAAGATATCAACGATGATTGGTAGTGATGCATCTATCTGCCATAGTTACCATTTGATCAACATAAAAAAAGTGACTTGATCTATATAGTATTCAGAAGTTAAAAAAAAGAAAAATTTAAAACAAATGAGAATAATAAACTGATCTTATAGATTTAAATTAAGTAATTTTTAACTTAAATTCAAATCTAGTCCAGTCTAGGACGTTGAAGAACTCACATGTATATTTAATTGAAATTTAATTAAACTTAGCAAGCTTCAACCAATAAAAAGGGTCGTGTCATTAAAGTCATATTTATTTGAGTACTATATTTTTTTCACATTTATTTGACTTCGAATTTGACCTTACTCATAGATGATATTTTTAGTACGAATATATTATACTGTTTAATTCTTTTGAATTATATTCCAATGAAAAACACTGAAGGACATTTTTAGCTTATGTTTTCCTGAGGTAGCATAATAACTGTCTTCCCTCAATATTAGATTCTCAAAAACTTAATATATTGATTTTCTTATTCATAAAAATACTTTGAAACATCATTTTCTGAAGTCGATGCAGAAGTCATGCATACATGCATTACGACATGAGCAAGTGAATATATATATTCTGTCTATTTAAAAGAAATAACTCTGTGCCATGTTCTCTTAGTGAAAATGAGATTTAGAATTTCTTTTTAAACCAGAAGAAATTTATTTCATAATTTTAGATCTGATTGAAAACGAAATCTACTTAACTATATTTTCAACTAAGAAAAACTTTGACTGTGACATACATATATATATACACAAATAAATAGATCAAGATGAATAAATATCATCTTCTACAAACATTGTATCGAAACACACGAGTGTTCGTGTTAATTTATCAAAACGTTCCGTGTATTATTTTTATTATAAAAAGTGTATAATTGTAAAAAAAACAAAAAATGTTGATATAGCACAAGTCTTTTTTTTTTATTTTTGATCAATACAGCATCATCATTTAGTTATCAGTTTGTCATTTAATAGTTATACCATTATTTTGAACTGGCATCACCAATGAAAAAGAAAATCTCCATTTGTCTTAAATCGCTGAAATTTAATAGATTATTCATCAAGAAATATTGTTTATGACAGAACAATAAATTAGTTGCCAAGTTCAGATGGGAATAAAATTATTTTATTTTTCATATTGTTTACATCGTGTGCTCTTATTGAAAATATATTCAATTATTTAGTTAATTTTCAAGATAGTGAGATGACTTTTACATTATTCGATTCAGCAAACTTGTGACCTTAAATTACATTATTACCATCAGTAAAGTATATCATTTCTATGATGAAATAACAAAAATGGCATCGTTTTATTTATTCGGAAGATAAACAGTCTTGCATTGATGATTATTGACGTATAGATGAATGGACATATCTCATATGTGCCCGAAACGAATAGGAAAACGAATATGATGTTGTACCGTTGAAATACTAATAAACAGGGTATATTTAACAAAACATTATCAACATTGATGGCAAACTATAAATTATGAATAAATCGTGTTTCTTATCACTCGACTCTGAAACAATGTTTTTTACTTTCAATATGCTTCAACGAATTCAGAGTTGTACAAGTAGATTAGTGATTTTCTATTCATAGTTTTATTTGCCCTACTATATATGTCAATGTAATGAAGCTTGACAAACATACCTTCTATTGTTTCATAATATTTATAGAACTTATATTAAAATTTCTTGCAGTCACTATTTCAGGCAAAATTAGCGAATGAATATATTCTATCATCCATAAACGACTTCATTTATTAACATGACACAAACACTATAACAGTATCAAGCATTAATAGAGATTCATTCTTTTTCTCTTCTATTATTGCTGTTGATGAAGAGAATGAAAAGAGAAAAATCTTGTGCTTCATTAAAACTACGTGACAAATTATCGTATAGTCTTCATTTGAATAAGTTTTATCTATGCTTGTTCATAAAAATATGGCAAACGATACTGTTGTTGATTTATCGAATAAACTAGAAACATCAAAGTCGCGATCCATTCGATTCTGGATTCTACTTCCATGCGGCATAGTTTCGTGTGGATGTTGCATTCTTCTTCTTTATTTTTTGTTAAGCATTCGGAAACTTCGACATGCATTGAATAATCATGTTATTATTGTTCTAATCATTCTTGAATTTCTCTATATTATAATCGATGTACCACTCTATCTCAATTTTCTTCACTTGAATTTTGTATGGCCTCAAACACAAGCTACATGTCTCGTATGGTGGATATCACATCATGGCTTACATGAAACCATAACTATTTTAGTGGCTTGGGCATCATTTGAGAGGCACATTTTGGTCATAGATAATCAATGGGTATCAACCAGGAGAAGAAGAGCATGTTTTCATTACCTTCCCTTAGGTATAATTCTACTTTATGGAACAATTTTCTATGGCGTGACTATTTTCTTTCCGCCATGTCAACATCATTTTCAATACACAGAAGAATGGTGTTCATTGCCATGCTTATTCACTAATCAAGTTTTTCTATTATATCACACAGTGGTCAATGAAATTCTATTTACTATTCTCATTGCTATATTCAGCTTGATGCTACTTGTTCGTATCTTATTGCAGAAACGAACACGTTTTCGTCAACCGATTCAATGGCGCAAACATCGTAAAATGGCTATTCAACTATTTGCAATATCATCTCCTTATCTTTTTTTTAATCTACCCGAAATGATTGGTTCTCTGGCAAAACCATTTGGTTCAACATCCGCGATCGCTATAACTTTTGAGCTATGGTTGAATTTTATCAGCTACTTTGCCGAGATACTTCTTCCGCTTATCTGTCTCACCGCTCTCCATCCTAAACCATGGAGTCGAAGACATCGATTAGTAAACGCTGCAACCATCACATTGACCAATCAAACACGTCGAGTTAAAAATACATAACAAGATGATGATAATTGAGAACAATGAACATGCAAACGAGTTGCATCTAAGAAAAAAAACAAAATAACTAGACTGAAACATGAATGTGTCAAACTGTTTAACAGGTCATTAAGTTATTTTGAATGAATCGCAGATTGTGCACTGTATCCATTGTTAGCTTGTAGTGTTATTTATTCAATTATATACTTGTTTATTTATTGATGTATGTAACACGTAAACGAAATAAAACTTAATACTTATTTACCAGCAATTTTTATATAGGTTTCACCGTTTGCACTAAACAGGGTGTGAGTATGAGTGCATGAAAGATCAGGGTACACTCACGCCCTCGATGTATGAGACAATTGATAATATAGAAGATCCACACAACTTTCATAAAAACGCTTGACGAATTCAAAAAAAAGCGACTTGTTCATACATTACATTTGGCTAGATAATTTAATCATTTATCTTGTGACTATGAAACAATTGGCAATATGACATGTGGATTTGAATCTTATGAAGAAATGATGAGCATTGTACATTATTATCCTCCTGACCATTGACTTTGTCAAAAGATTGAAAGAAATACTTATCGAATTAAACAATAGATTTCAATGAAATAGAGATTGTAACACTTATTTAACTCTTGAAAGTGTATATCATTTATTAGTCTTTCACCATTAACCTATGCAAACAGACATAACTTGATCGAAAAAATGAATTTGACAAGACAAAATTTTACAGATTTTTCTTTTTTTTTTCTATAAAAAAATCTGTTTTTTTTTCGGTGAATAATTACACATGTTTATACAAAACAATAGAAAAAAAAAGATTAAATTATTCATTTTATTCTTTTCATACGAACAAAGTCAAATTGACATGAGCAAGATTATTGTTTTGAGTTCTTTTAAATAAAAAAAAAACTTCAAGGTGATTTATGAATCATGTCAAAATATTTTAAAAATACTGCTTACTTCAATTCAATATGGTGACAAATGAAATCAGTCAAAGTAACTATAAATACATCATAATGCCAAATCTGAAAATTGCATTCAATTATTGGATTCTTTAATATCTTTATATATGAGTTCCGTTGTTGAAAATCTTTCAAAAATTCAATTATTCATCTCTCGTTAAGAATACCACAGACTCACATACAGAACATTTCTCTCGAATATCTGAAAGAGTCTTGACTAATTGAATTCAACTTTCAAATTTGATATTTACACTTTTTTGAAATCGACGAGTATAGAATAAAATATATTTTTTTGTTGTTTAACCTATTACACACAAAAAAAAATAAACGTTGATTGTGATTTTAAATAAAGAAACAATTAGAAATTGTTTCGATTCGAATGATCAATGAAAATGAGTAATTTGATCTTTAAGTGCTTATCAATATACTATATCGTAAATCAAGTAAACCAATAACAAGGTATACTATTTATTGGTTTTATCTGTTCTCATTGAATGGACATAATAAATAATTACTATTGAAAAATACTTTCTTTCTTCTAAAATTAGTTTTACAATAAAAATCTTTTTTTCTTTTTTTTTGAATTCTAAATCAGAAAATGATCTTAACTGAGATTTAGTTTGTTCTTTTTTTTCTTGCCATGGTACGATCAAAACAAATATCTTTTTTTATTAAATTAAAACAACAAAAAATCATTTTCATAACAATTATTTGAGAATAATTATCGAAGATCTAATTGTTTTATATTGTATATGAATGCATATGTTTTAATTAAATCTATTTATTATCAATGATAATACAATAATATTAAGTAATTGAAATTTGATAAAGAAATAGATAAGTCTATTTTCGTTTTCATTGATATATCAATTTCATTTTTTTTATCTCTTTAATTTGTTATTTAAATGTGTACTATAAAATATTTCGTATAGCTCATTACTGAAACAAAATCAAAGAATCTTTATCAACAACAAACAAATATCCATAATGTTTTCATTACGTATTATATTATTGATGTTTATTATATTATTATTATTAAATTGTTATTGTCAAGGTCAAAATGAAATTCGTAATGCTGCTAAAGCTAAAGCTAACAGAAAAATCAATAAAGGAAGACAAAATGTTAGATTTGTTAAAGATAGAACTCGTGGAAAAATTGATCGAACTGGTGCCAAAATAAATCGAAAACAAAAAAGTACTAGACGAAAAATGCATGTTATTAAAAAAGTAATTAGATCATAATATATATTATTTATTCTACAAGAACATCATTTATCATTTTACTATACGTTATATTCTTTCCTTGTAATTTTAAAATAAAATTTTATTTATCATTATTCAAGTGGAATATAATCATTTTTGAAAATAAAATAATTAATAATTAAGTTATTCAGATTATTTTTATTGATTTATCTTTACTTTTTATTAATGACAGTTTCTATTAATTATGTGAGAGATGACAATAAGCATTAACTTAACATTTACTTTTATTTTGAGTGTAATCAATAAATAACTATTGAGTTTAAATAGAAAAATAATTCTTTTTTAGGTTAAATTATCTTCATTTCAGAACATCTTATTTTAACTAATCATTCATTACTAAATCGATTGCTCATTAAGTCACTTGATGACAATGATAGTTAGTGTTAAATATAGAACGAAAAAATAACATGAACACATCTTTATATCGATCTCTATGAATCTATTTTTATGTTCACTTTAACTTTCAACATATGATGAAGAAATTTATTCTCATCCATGCTTTGTCTACAGGAAAGAGACTTGATAACCAACTGAGTTGGCACACAATATCAATCATATTCAATTCAAATTTGTCATATATGATAAATGCATAAAACTTGTTATTGCATATTTTACAGACGAGCAACCGGCGATCTACTTTTACAAGGAAAAGAAAAATTAAAACTTCACATAAGTACAGAAATTATTCTAAAGAAAATCAATTGTAAATTTAATCAAACAATTGAAATCATTATATCAAGTAAGAATTTTCCACTACAATAAACTAACACACAAGAATACAGAGACAAAAATATTTTCCTATATTAAAAAAAGAATTCCTCTAATGTACGACTAGTTAACAAACAATTTTAAAGAAAACATTACATTTATGTTGAAATAAAATAGCCTTCTTGTTAGAATAGTTTATTAAGACAAGACTACATATTTCAGCAATCAAAATAAGTTCCTGATTCTTAATCTACTTATAGTAATTATTATCATTCGGCACTATTTTAAGTTGAATTACTGAATTTTACGGTACTTTTAAAGAGAATTCCGTAGTCTCTCTAATGAATACCTGAAAAACTACTTTTTGAATTTCAAGTTGAAACTTAGCAGAGAAATAAATCTTAACTAGAATAGTTTATCGTGAAAGTTTGAGATCTTTTGATTTGTGTCAATAGAAACGTCGAATCTGTTAGTTTATATGAGTGATGTAAAAGATACGCTTTTATTATAGTCGTATTTTAGGATAGAAGCAAACCCAAAGATTTGAAACTTTTACAATAAATTATTTTCATTAAGACCTGTGCATATACAAAGTTGTAAGTTGAAATTCGAAAATTAGTCTTTTTTATGTTCCTGTGGAGGACTACGGCATTCTCTTAAAAAATATCGTAAAAGGTCCGTATCTCGGCAGTCATAAGCTGTGAGCCCCAGTCCTTTTCAGGGTATTCATAGCCTATTTTGAACTATGTGATGCGTATACTTTCGAGTCAAAAGTGACTAATCATTTGGTTGCTTTTCCTCGTCGGTTGATGTGTCCTGGCTTTCCGAAATGACAAAACGAATAAAAAAATGCTCTGTGACGGTCTCTGATAGGTAGCTATTGGAATCTCATTCGATCTTTCTGTAGATTATTCTGATAGGTCAAATTATATGACGACAACAATCTACAAGAAAAATAAACATGTCCTTTTAACATTCCATCATATTAGTCGGATAGAAACGTTTTTCGTCAAATTGGTCTATTTGCGAATCAATAATAGGAGAAACAATATTTTTGCTTTTTTTTGTTCACTATAGAGCATCACCTGCAATGTATGAGTCAGTCATTGATTAATGTAGGATCGTGTTTACATATAACCATTCTCCTATCTTGTAGAAATTTTTAGATAGGTAAAAAAAAAAAGTTATTTTTATGTTTTCATAGGATTTAGTTTTTAAATAAATAACTTTTTAAAACAAAATTATTTCAATAATTCTAATAGATTGATATTTTCTAGGATTTTTATTCGAAAATGAATAGAATATAACTGACAGAAAACAGTGGCGGATTTAGGAGACGTGACGTTGGAGGTGATTGTAATTGAAAAGGTGTTTTCTAATCCAAACCGTCCCCACCATAAAAAATCCTAGATCCTCCACTGACAGGGAAGACTCTCTTTTGTTTTCTTCTATTAAAATCATTAGACAAACCATTGTTCATATATTTATTTATCCGGATCGACTAAGGCAAATGAGTTATTGGACTGTGTGAAGTTTAACAGAGATGATAAGAAGAGCATCTGAGTAGCAAAGTAATGCATACGGTGATGATAGTATTAGAAATGATAACTTCCAGATGAAAGGTTTTTGATAGTTGCTATTAAACACTTATATTACAAGTCTTTAGTACATTATTTAGATTTTTTTGCAGACAAGTATTTACAATGAACATCAAGAAGAATAATCTCGTTGTCAAACTAAAAACTTTTTGTTTTTGACAAGTCTATGTTTTTTATTGATATGACAGTTTAAAACAAATGAAACTTTTTTGACAAACTACAAGAGAAATATGGAATACAACGTTTGAGAAAAAAAAATCTATCAAGAAGAAAGACAGATATCGGTGATAATACATGTAACATCAAAACTAAATAATATCTCATCTATTTTTAATTGTATTAAATGGATTCATATTATAATGAAACAAATTCAAAGTGTTGTGATATTATATCTCAATGAATTTTTCATTCCAAAAATTATTCATTTTATTAATTTCAGAAAAATTAATTTGAAAATTTATCATTACTTATTCTATATCAATTGAATATATTAATATTAACTATTTGATCAAGATATGTTTGAATTGAATAATTTATTTTAATCAAAGTAAATATTAATGTATAAATAAGTATTGATTTTCTTAAAAAGAAAAACGATTTCTTCACTTATTTTATTGAAAAATGTTCTAAAATATAAAATCGAGTTAAATATATTTAAATTCAGAGAACAATTTAAGATGTTTAATTTTTATTTAAATAAAACATATTTGTTTATTTTATTAAATAGAATCAAAATTAATATTAATATTTAAAAACTTTATACATAAACTATCTTCTATTAAATGTAAATTAACTTATCTTGAATTGAATATATCAAACGATAATTCTTCTTCCACACCCAGGTGTATAGGTGATTTCTTGTTGAATCTTTTAATAAAAAAGATATCTTGATATAAACGAAACATGTAAATACTAGTAATAGAATATTTTTGATGAATGAAATTTCATAATTTGAAATGATTTGTTTCTTTTTATTTTTAGGCATCAGATAAATTACGAAAAAAATGTATTAAATACTGTTCGACATATTGAATTTTCGTCTTTCGCACTATGCTCGTGATTCAGACGAGTCAGTTTAATATGGAAAAATATGTTTTATCTTTTCTCAGTAATTATACACGATATTTAGAAATATTGTGTCTTTGACTAGATGATGATTTTCGTTGGACATTAAGTAAGTTAATATTTTTAAGTGAAATATAAGATGATGATAATGCTAGATTCAAGTGAATTTTTTCTTGTTAAATTATTTATGGTTTTAAAAAATTTGACAAGATGATTATGAATACATTGTTTTTACTCTGATTCGACTATGAGTTGATGGAAAACGACTAGAATGATTGAAAGTTTAGCATTTGATAATTAAAATTTACTTGAATATTTCAATTATTGTCATCGGACTTCTTAATGTAAGAAAAATAGAAAAATTTTTCAATTGAAAAAATTTGTTCATAATAAAAATTATTATTAAATAATGTTTCTTTTTTTTTTTGTTTAAGTTCGAATAAACTATGAAATAAGATACATGCATGATGTTCTAAGTAGACAATCGATAGAATCTTTACAAAAATCTCAATTAATTGATAAGTTTCTTAAAAAAGATTTTGAAATAAATTATTAATAAAATTCTTTGTTTTTCAACATGTTGCTTTTTTTTTGAACAAGATCTTTATGAATTAGTTCAACAATTGAAAAAATTATTTTTCTAGATATCTATGAACAAAACGATCGTAACAAAATTGAACTTTATCGTTCTATGGTTAAAATACGTTTTCCTAATAGCCAACTGTATATCGATAGTTCCAAATTTCGTCTTTGGTTAAAATTTATTTGTTTTTCTTATAGTTATTGATTAATTAATAGAAAGTTCTTAAATTGAATTATCGTTTTTTTTTTTGTATAATATTAAGTGACATCATGCATCATTAATGTTTTTCTTCAAT